TACACATCAGTGTATGCTTTGCTGGTTGCTGAGCAGCATAAGGAAACAAATGTCAAACTAACAGATGTTGGGGGCAAGACAGAGGCTATAGGTGTTATGAAATAACTTGATAAAAAGAGAAAACAACGCACAGAGTTTATGCTGCTTTAATTTAGTACATATCCATCAATTTGCTCTAAACTTATTCAAGATATAGTAACAGATTTTTTTTCAATATAAAACAAAAATGATCAAAAGAATAAGAATTGAAGAAGAAAGAATCTGTTCATTTAAAGTCAATCAGACATTATTTATGCTTTGGGAAGATAATTATTTTCTTGCCCCACCTCTGTTGGCATCAGAAGGCTGTTAAGACCTGGCTTTTTCCTTAGGGTGTTAGAGCTGGGATGTTGTGCTTATCCATGTGTGAGTTATATGGTACCTCGTTGTTGTTTTTGTTTTTATTTGGATTATATTAATTTTGTCTAGCTATGGGTTTCTTTTATACAGGGTGTTTGTTGGGTTTTTTTGGCAAATGTATTTCAAATGGACAGCCGTATACATTTGCTAAATAAATAAAGCAGGTAAGATCACATGAGTATATTCTATGCAATTTAGATACTGGACAGGTTTAAATGACCTTTAATATTGCAGATCCCTAATATTAAGCATTTCTTAAAGTGATATTAAGGTATGCAACTTCCCCTAGCAACCTCTATACAGCGTGTAGAGGGCTTCACTCCAAAAGTGGGCAGAGGCAGGAGGGGTTTTTTTATTCAGGGAGGGGGAGATATTTAAGTGCTAAAGCAAGCACCTTAAACCAGTATAGTAGCTAAAGCATCCATTTTGCTCTTTAGCTGTCTCAATCCCACACCCTCCCCAAAATGCAACCCACTGGATTAAACATTTGGAGGAGGGGTTCTGAGGGCTGCAAACAGGCACCCTGTAGTTTTGGGGGGAGGAACAGATAGCAGCACCTTGCTGAACTTAAAAGAGCTAAGCAAGGTTAAAACTGGCAGGTACTTAGATGGGAGACTATCAAAATATTCCAGGATTGTAAATTGAACTAGGAAGTTTTTTTTAAAAAATCATTCTGAGAAAAGGCAGTGGCAAACCACTTTTGTATTATTGCTAAGAAAACCACATGGATGGGCCCATGTAGTCACCAGATTCTGAGTTTGTCTCAAAGGGATCTCTCTTGCTGCAGATTTAAACACCTCCTTAGAAGAAGTGCTAGGCCATTTTGGCTGTCAAATTCCTAGCCAGTTAGGAAAGGATTGGTAGCCTTTCATAAAAGGAACATGTAATCTTCTGGCTTCTAAGTGGAGGCATTTTGTAAGGAACAGCCACGGCCAGAACAAAAAAAAAAAATTGGATTTCATTAGTATACAGTATGCATGATTATTCCCAATAACTTTGTTCTTTTCTGGTTTTAACAATTGCAGTTTAGTTGCAACTTTTGGAGATAGCTTAGGTGGCTGCACCTAAGAGTTGGGACTGCTGGTTGTGACACACCTTAGAAAGATTATTTGCCAGAGCCTTCTGCTAAATTATTAACGGCAAAGGTGAATTCTGAGAATAGTTCCAACCTTTGTGGAGAAATGACAGAGCAACCATGTGAGTGACTCATGCATGCTTTTCTAGCAAGTCTGTTGTAAAATTTCTAAAAGAGGAACTCTAGACATTTTCCAGACAGTGAAATGTGAGTTTTTTTGAAAGAGGAGCAGATGATTTCTCTCTCCTTAAAGGAGAAATATTGCCTTTCTTGGAAGTGAAACTGAAATGTGATTAGTGGATTCATGTGTCAGTTTCTCATGCTGTTGTTTGTAACAATCTAATGAATAATGCGCTTGGCAGGGTTATGTCCTTTGTATTAAATAAAACCCACTTCCAAGCCAAACTCATTGGCTGGTGGTTTCTTAGTCTCCATCTGTGAATGGTTACATTCAGGAGCCTCTTAACTAGCATCTTTCAAATTTGTTGGACTTCAGATTTCCCAATTTGTTAGTTAATTTGGTTGCTTGCCTAAAAGAATACATTTGGGAATATATTTATCACTTACCTCTAAATAAAACACACACTCTATCTATCTATCTATCTATCTATCTATCTATCTATCTATCATCAATCATTTTAGAGGTAAAATAAATATAGCTTATTTTTATGTAATCAAAATATCTGCCCATAGTTCCTTAAAAAAAATCCCTCCAAACAGACACAGACAATATATTTCAGACTTCAGTCGGAAAGAATCAAAGCCTCAACCAAACAACTTAATTACTGGCTTACAAAATTTTGAAAATGAAAATAGTGCTAACATTAATTCAGATGAGGAAGATTTTACTTTTACTCTCACAATTTGATTTTGGTTAATGAAAGTTTTAAAAAAGGTTTATTACCCCCTGCCAATATGGCTGAGTGCTGTAGTTGGGAATGATTCACTCCTGCGGTTCCTTCTTTTTTTCTTTAACCCTACATTAAAGCCTTATCTCTGCTCACTATGCACGTGGCATACAATGTTGACACGTACTAAGCAATGCTGTGGTTGGTTTGTTTCTGGCTTTATAGCACTTGCAAATGGGGTCAATGAATAGATCATACCTTGCTTTAGCACCATGAACCTTAATTTTCAACCATGATTTATTGTTAGCCTACTGTTAGTAACTAAGTTAGCATGTTGTGTACATGGCAATGCATGATTTGTTTGTGGTTCGTTGACTTATTTCTGGTTTGTTTCTGTGCCCTTCCCAAAGTTACAATCAGTTTACTGTACTGCATAGAAGTCCAACTCAAAATGGAGAAAAGGAACCAGGAATTAATCAAACACCCCATGCTTACTTTGTTCATCTGCACAATTAAACAAACTATGGTTAACACAAGCCGTGGCTTAGTATGATGCCTAAACGAATCAACGGTTTTCCAGTTAAGGGAAAAAGGTGCAATCATGGGTTAAATACAGCTGTAGGTAGCTATTTAAGTACAACTCTGATAAAGCAGATTTCACTCTCAGTCACTCTGGGAGTCTTTAAGCTGATCACTTTCCGCCAGTCCAACTTGCCTCTAGTGGGTGTGAAGATTAAAGAAGTGAAACAAGTATGACTAATAATTCTTAGTCCCTAATGAGCATCCATATTAAAAGATTACCTCGTATCAGTGGAATTTGAATAAATATGGTGATGCAAGTCAATATGCATATACAATCATTATTGCTGGTTATAGGTTTCTCTTACCAAAATATGGGTGAACAATGTACATGCTATGGCAGGTTTCATGATCCCATATGTCCTCCCTCTCCATCTCAAAGATGGAAGGAAAACTGGGGCTTGTCTTGCTGCTGAAATGCTCCAGAAAAAAAGGCTAAGGGTGGCAACTGTGGCTATTTATGCTAGAAAGCCAGTTGGAATAGTGGAACAAGCACCTGTCTTTGTCTTTGTTGCTGTGTTCAGGTGGAAAGGTCACTTACAGCTTCAAGATTGAAAAAAAACAGTGGGGCATATTCCTTCAGAGTGCGACTAGGACACTCTGTGTTCATTGTGAAGCACAGCATCAAGGAGAATTCCTCACCTCTGTGGCAAACATGAAGCTAAATGAGTGGGAAAATAGTCAAGAAGAAAAAACTTTGATCTCCACAAGCTTTGGTTTTGTTGCTGTGGCCATCCAAAATTTGTAGACTCCATCTGGGGAAACATAAGGTGGGGTGTACAGAAATAAAGTGTGTCTCATAAACTGGCTTCTTAAAACATTTCTGAAGCTCTGTCATCCTGAGTCTAGTCTCTACTTGCGGATTTCCCTTTTGGGTCATTTTTATAAAAGACATACCTTCTCAATTTTTAAAAGACATGCCATCTGAAGTAAGATATGCCTTCTTAATACTTTCTTAATTTCAATGTAGAATCCCTTTTCTGTTTTCCACAGCTCTTACCTTAGTAACTATTTCCTTGTATCTAGCCTAAAATTCTTGTCACAATTCCACAGCCTCAACATCTGTGATCCTTTGACACAATGCATATGGTTCAGAGGCATTACTGCTTCAACTTAAATCTTAGGTCTTAAGAGTATCTGTTGTTGTTTTCTGAATTACAAACCTCTAGGATAAGTCTTGAGGATTGTACCAAGCTGTCTTGTTACATAATGGCACCACCTCACCTGTACAATGCCTTGCAATAAGATCTACACTGTTATACATAGGCTAGAAAAAATCCAAGCAACCAGCAGAAGGCAGCAAAGATGGTCCTCTTTGCTGTCACCTAATCATCATCTGGGTAATCAGAGAGGTGAACTATCCGAAGATATGTGAAGATAATTAGGATGTCTTTATTAGAGCCAAAATTCTGGTTCCCACAAAGAACAGTCGTTTAGTTTTCATCACAGAAACAAGCTGCAGCAATCTTGTATGACTGTACCTTTGGCAATATGTCAAATAAAACTAGTTAGCCCTAACTGGTTTTGTGATCATTAATATTTGGTTGCAGCTGGCTTGTTTTACTAAAACATAGTTGAATAATCTGTGGTAATATAAAAGGAAACTAACATTTTCAAACTGTACCTCATATCCAGGCCTAAAGTAGAAATAGAAATCCATGTCATGATCTGGCTCCTCTTTACCATTCTAAATTATCTTAATGTCTGAACCAACTTGCTAGGATTGATTTTGGGATAAAAATGCATGAAGCTGTGGGGGACATACTATTACTACTACTATTACTATTATAGTGATTTGATATGATTTGCTGTATGTCCTTCAGTGAACTATATTTCACAGAATGACTGGCAACAGTAAAACTAGCCTCCAAATAGAAATACTGGAAAGTAATAGAATTGAAAAGAAAGCAACTGTGTACTTTGACTTCAGCTGCTAATGAAGGATGGAAAAAGAATGAACACTTTGGAATAATTGAATATGTAAAGAGGCCTTTTATTCCTTTCCTTTAACCATGTCTTTCCACAATGTATACTTTAAGTCTATAAGCTGGGAGATAATCAAGTAAATTTAACTATTATTTTGCCTTTTATTCTTGCAGCGAGAGGGACAGTCTCTTAAAAGAAGCTGAAATTTTACATCAGGCAAGGTTCAGTTACATTCTACCAATTTTGGGAATTTGCAATGAACCTCAATTTCTGGGCATTGTGACAGAATATATGCCTAATGGATCACTGAACCAACTTTTACATGGGGTAAGTATGAGCAATGGTAGCAGGTGTTAAGAGCCACTGTGTTAATTTTAAAATGAGGAAAACATGGGGAAGCCGTCTTAAGAACCATTCAAATGATGTATGTAATATAATTTAACTCTGTTTCTCAACCTCAACAACTTTAAGATGTGTGGATTTCAGCTCCCAGAATTCCCCAGCCAGCATGCTGGCTGGGGAATTCTGGGAGTTGAAGTGCACACATTTTATAATTGCTGAGGTTGAGAAACACTAGTTAACTTAATGCATGAGAAGGAAGGGGAGCACATTTTCTGGCCAGTGTTGTACCTTAGTCTGGAAGGGGGCAATTTGAGAGCAAGTTCCCCACTCTCATGAATTAATATGGAGTAAAGGAACACTTTTAGGTAGCCTCTAAAGAGCTACTGAATATAGCCATTTTCCAGAATTTGTTGATTGTTTCTTTATTTGGTCTAAAATGTTGTCATAGATTTAAGAGTTAATACAAAATAGTTTTAATTGTGTAACATTATATTGCTGTATATATAAATAAACTGTGTGGGCATATGGTAAAAGATAAGGATGCCATCTAATTGAGGTGAACTCTTGATAACTTAAGGAGCACCTCTGTATGATTATTTTGGCAATAGTACGGAAGTAGCTTGTCATCACCTTCTTTCAGGATGTTCTTTCAACTTCCCACTCTAGTCTGCCTGTCTATCATTATGTGTTATTTACATTCTTTCTCTTTTCTAAATAGAAAAACGTCTATCCTGACATTGCTTGGTCACTCAGATTTCGCATTTTGTATGAAATTGCTTTGGGAGTAAATTATCTTCACAACATGAGTCCTCCACTCTTGCACCATGATTTGAAGACCCAGAATATTTTACTTGACAGTGATTTCCATGTTAAGGTAAGGGTGTGTTCTCTGTAGCTTAGAAGCTGAAAAGTCAGGGGTAGAAACTTTGTAGTAAAGAGAAGAATGTTGCACGTAAAGGAAATAAGAGAGGTCAACATTGCAAATAGAATGGGGCAAAGAGCTATGTAAGAAAATGGCATTTTACTCTTCTGAACATCAGAATATCAGACTACATCCCAAGTCCTACTTCTAAAAGCCTCCTAAAATTAAACCAAGCATTACCAAAAGTCTTTTGAAGCTATTCTGTTGCTTCAAGGTTTAGAAATCCTTTTAAAATGAAAAAGGGAAAGCTATAATCACAACTTTATTTATTTTGGTAAGATTTGTACATTATCTTTTTTTTCTCCCTCATTCTTGGCCACTAGATTTGCAATCCGTTTACCAATTCAAAAAAAAAAAAAGACATTTTAATTGGCTGTATGTGAAAATAGATTTAATTTTTTAATGCAGTTTTCATGCCTTTATTGTTTGGGTGGGTCCTTATAGGTCATTTTGTCCAGTTCCCTGCTCACTGAGGAATAGGGTCATCTGCTGGGGATGGCAAGCACAACATCATGATTGTCCCTTTTGCACTTACTATGAGTGAGTGGAATTGGGATCTCACTAAACTATCCTGACAGGTAGATTGAACCAGTGTTTGAAAACCTCCAGTGAGGGGAATCCACCATTGTTCTAGACCTTTGCTCCACTGCTTAACGGCTCTTATCATCAGGAAATTCCTCCTAATACCCAGCCTGAATCTCCTCTCTTTTAATTTTAACTTGTTGGTCCTCGCCCTGCCTTGAGTTTCAACAGAGAACAGCTTCCACATTCTTTTCCACAAACCACATTTTTAGAAGTTTGCAGATTATGAAATTTCCTTCCAGTTTTCTTACTCATTTCTGTGACTGATAGACAGAAAAGCAAAATTGTGGCTTAGTAGATAATTGGGTTGCTCATATTTAGATCTTAAAAGGGGAAATAAAAATTGGATCAGAGGTACAAAGATATACAAATTTGCCACTTACTGAGTGAATGGTTATGGTGGTAGTAAAAGGGTACTTATAAATACTGTTACAATTGTCTTCCTTGAAGTAAATAATGAACATTTTTAAAAAAATGAAAGGAACCTCAATATTTGTAATATGCATTCACTGTTAGTCATTTCTAATATAAATATATGGCTAGTTTGAAATGGCATAATAGTGAGTTTTTCTCTTCCATTAGTGAGTTTTTAATCTGACATCTTTACATACATTAAAATCTGAGAACATTTAGAAATCTTTCAAAAAACAAATGTTATATCCCCTGATCTTGCATGAGTATTATTCTTATTAAGACCCTAAGAGTTAAGTTTTATAAGAAAATAAGCACCCAAGATTATACACATATATGAACATACACATTTAAACATGACAAAGCTTTTACATACCAAACCTTAAAAGAGATGCAATATTGAGGTGCACAGTGTTTCCACCTTCCATAGTTTTCGATGCCAACTGTTTTGTATAGTTTAATTTCTATGGAAAATACATTCTTATCACCTTTTTCTTAAAATATGGCAGAGCCAAATGAAATTGCCTAGCCAATCTTAATCTGCATGGCTAATTGTAAAAATCTCTCCCTATAGTTATTTTGCTAAGCAAGAATATCCAGTCTCAGTTTGTTCAACCCAACAAGTTTAATTTAAGAACCATAGATTAATTCTTACTACAAAAATAGAAATATGACATGACAAATAGTCCAAGGAAAAGTATCAGACTAGAGGTATCCGAATGTGCTTGTTGAAAACATTGATCTAACTTTTTGTGGACCAGTTCACAGACTACTTATATTCTGACTGCAGCCTCTGGTTGCCTTTAATCTGCTTAGACGTTTTTGATAACAGATAAGGAGAACAAAATAATTAGACCTTGGATAAGAAAGAACATTTCTGATGATAGTAAGTGAATACTGTATGACCAGAATTTATAAATCAACAAACTGCAAACTAATGTTTGTCTATTGCTATAATTCCCATAGTAGTCTTTTGTAAAATGGCATTAAACAATGTGAATCTATCTGCAAATTCTGGGGGGGAGGAAAGTAGATTCACTTAGCCTTGCATTGTCTTGAATATAAAAAAGAAAGCACAACTTCATTTTGAATTCACACACCACATTAAGCTTGCATGCTTTTTGACTTAGCATGATCTATGAACTGGTCAATAATTTATCCATGGCTTTATTTAGAGAGGTAAATCATAGTTCAGTACTGCATTTAATCGTTGGTCTACTAATTGCACCTGTGGCTTAGTGTGATGAGGGAATGGAGGCACATAATTTGTTTTTTGTTTCCTGACTTAACTGGTTTATTTTTATGCCTTGATCAAACCTGTAGCCTACCCTTCCCCAAACTTTCCGCCCTCCATATATGTGAATCAGCTCACAGAATTGTCAGCAATGGCAGTGCTGGCTGAGGAATTTGGAAGTTGAAATCCCCACACCTAGAGAGTGCTCAAGTTATAAAAACAGTTCTAGGCATACTACCACAATGTAAGATAGGAGCATGGGAAAAAAAATAAAGGAAAACAAACTAGGAATTGCCCAAAGGACCCATGTTTATTTTGCTTCTCTTAAAGCTGACCCTGGTTTGTTTGACAAACCATTGTCAAAATAATGGATTAGTGTAATGTCATCTATCTGTAGAGCAAGGGTGGAGAGAAAGTAAATCAGGCTGTTAATAGATCTCTAGATGACATGTAGTAGATATTCTGATTCCCAGTTATCCCAATTCCATTAGCAAGAACAGAAATGTGTTTTTGTTGATAATTAAACTGCTGAAATGAAGAAAGGTTGGGAGAAAATGCATTTCACTGCAGTTTTGAGCAAAGATGTTATAAGCTATTGGTTCTTACAATAATACAGATTTTACTTAGTTCTCAGAATATAACAAATTATTTCTAAGGAATGAATTTCTCAATATCCCCCTATGGATCTTAGGATTCTAGTTTTATAAAACTGAAACATGAATGCTCTTGGTAAATTTAAAGTCTACTCAGCGCTACTCTAATGACTTAAGAGTACCTCTGGAAAAGCAAGTGGCATTAGGCCAAAAAAAAAAAAGTCAATTCCCAAGAAATCTTAGAAGGAACAATGTATATGATATGAATTGGCAATTACCACATTATCTAGCTTAAAAAATTCTTACAAAAAGTATTTTAAGGTTTCACCCTTCAGTCAGTCTGTCCCTTTTATTTTCTTGTTTGCCTGTCTTTTCTTCCTTTCTCTTTTGAAATAATGGTCTGATTTAAAGTTTTGTTAAACAGAACAAGCTTCTTCTCATAAAAAGGGCCTTTCTCCGAACAAAAATCTGTTTTTTTCATAGACCTAAATCTTTGTTTCAAAGCTGTATGTGGTGACCTAAGCTTCTTTTCCAGATCGCAGATTTTGGTTTGTCAAAGTGGCGTATGGTGTCCATGTCCCTTTCAAGAGGGGAGAAATCAATGCCTGAGGGAGGGACCATTGTCTACATGCCACCTGAAGATTATGATGGCAGCCAAAAACTCCGTGCAAGCGTGAAGCATGATATATACAGGTATGTTATTCTATTATGGAGTTTAGGAGCAATATGTGTTCTTTTTTTTTTTTTTTTAATCTGCCACATTGGGCATTACAAATGTATGTAAAATACAGAGACTGAAGGCCAAAAATGTTGTGTACTTCAGTGTTTTAAATCTGCATAGAATTAGTTATACTCCTTTGTGAAGGTTAAGGTTAACACATTTTTGCTATTAGGGAGATTTGTTTTCTTATTGGTGTTACTAATCAATTATGTGTTGTTTGGAGTATATTTCTTTCCCTGTTCAATGGCAGTCAATAAAGTTAATACACTTTTGCATCTAGTATTACCAACCAGTTTCTGGTTGAAAATTTCACTAAATTTTCAAAGTGCTTTTGGAATCAGTTTAAGGATGGGTTCCTGCATGCAAGGATGACTTTGTTGTCCAGTTACGGCTTGCATAATTCAAGTTTTTTCATAGATGCCTGCTCTCAGGCATTGTATTGTACACATGCTTGGAAAATCTAATTCACCACTGAGTTTCAAATACACACACACACACACACACGTATGTTGCTGTTGTGAAATAGGGCCACCAGATGTCAATTTAAACTCGGTGCTTCTGGGTTACTCTAAGGAATCTTTTAATCCTTTCTTGGGTTACTTAGAGTAAAGCCTCTTTAATTTTGTGAGGCAATTGTCCTTCTAAGAACTTTACGGGGGTGTTAAGTAACTAACTTAATGTAAGTCAAGGTGTAATGTTTGCTGATTTCACTAAGGACCTTGCTCGCTCCAATGTTTTATGTATGCACATTAGCAACAAACAATTATACATATCCAAAGGGCCTACATCCAGACATCACAATAAACTCTGGTTTAGGTTTACAGAAAGAACTCCTGCTTCATGTTCACTTCAGGGATAGGTTCAAAAACATTGGCTTCCATTTTAAATAAAGTAAAGCTTAGTCCTGTATCCAATAGCAAACTGTGGTTGATCTTAATCATGTATTCTTGAATAAAGCCAACTTCTGATTTTAAGATGGTATAAGATGGAAGATAGGTTGCTAAATTCATACAAAAGAGCAGGCTGTATTTAATGAAAAATAGATGTAAAATCTTCCAAACTTCCCTTTGTGGCTACATAAGGAGAGGAGAATTAGCACATGAACCTAAAATGGTTTACGTGAACCTAAAATTTACTCAATTTCCAGTAGGTCAGGATATATTCTGTTACAAGAATACAATTGGTATAATTAATATTTAAGTAACTTTTGAGAAAGTATCCTTGTATTTGCATTAGGTTTAATAGATCTAATTTATGTATTTATTTATACACACATGCTGTATATATATATAAATAAATTACTGTGTTTTTAAGTTACCAAGGATACTTGTCCCAACTAGTCAATGAGAACATTTGAAATAATTCTTTCCTTGCTTTGCTGTTGGGTCAGGAGGTAGAAATTCACACAAAACAACAACAGTTGGGATATTTTCATTTCATTGAGCTTTTTTTTTTCTCTCTCTTGGGAAAAAATTGAACTAATTTACAAATACATACTAATGTGCATTTTTGTTTGGAACAGTTACGCCATTATTATGTGGGAAGTGATGTCAAGAAAACAGCCATTTGAAGGTCAGATTTTTGTCTTTGTCTAATTCTGTTAAGGAACAGCTGAGTTGGGCTAACCTGTTGAGAACTGGGTCATTTGATATAATATAAACAGTATGTTTTTTTCAAAAGGCCATTCTTTCCCCTTTGTCTTAAATTTTGTACTGTGGCAAAATACATTATGCTGCAGAATATCAGTAGGAAGGGGAGGTGGCGTGTTTTGCCAAATTAGGTTTAGATCACAATATAATATAATCTAAAATGTAAATTATTACCTGTGTTCTGATTTTTTTCAGTATTGGATGAAATGCGCATATATTTCTAACATATGCATGTATTTACTTTGGCAGAAGTTATAAATCCCTTGCAAATTATGTACAGCGTGTCAAGAGGGAGGCGTCCAGACACCGGGGAAGAGTGTTTGCCACTTGATATTCCTCACCGACAATTGATGTTGTCTTTAATGGAATCTGCCTGGGCACAAAATCCAGATGAAAGGCCATCTTTTTCAAGTGAGTTTCTCCTTTTACTCTATAGGATAGGTAACTCATGAGCTCTTGCTACACTCTGCTACTGCATAATATTTGTTCAGCCCTCTGAAGTGCACCCCTTGCTTCCGCATAAACTACTGAAATGAGGAAAAGCTACACTTGAACACAATGTTCAAGATTGTTCAACTGCTGGAAGCATCTCAAATATTAGTAGGGAATGCTTTATTTGTATATATTAAAGTGATCAAGTATAATTTGCGTTAGCCTTTAAGGCTCTGCAGCTTTATTTTATCATGATGAAAATAGGGCTACCTACTAGGTAGGTCTTTCCCATCACCCGTTAGCTGTATTCAGTGGGCAAAAAGTGCTTTGGAGCATGTGTGGCATAGCATCAGTCAACAGCTTCTTAAAGCAGCTGTGCCTTTTCCTGGAGTCACATGGCCACCCTCTGCAGCTGCAACACATTCCTGGAAAATGGCATGTTTTGTTAAGAGGTGGTGGGCAGATGCTTCATCCATGGTCAAGGAAATTCTGAAGCAGCTTTTCCCCTTACTGAAGTCCTGTATAGTCCTGTTGGCTAAGGGGAATGTCCACCTAATAGGTAACCCTATATTTATTTTGTGATTCAATTGCAGTGGGAAGTTTTTGAGATGAACTCTTCACTGAGGGTTGCTCAATGAAGCAGTTCTTCCTTATGCCCTATGCTCGTTCCTTATGAGGATGTGATTACTTTTCTTCCCATTTTACAGCTGAATTGCAAAACTGAGACAGTTGCTAGAGAAAAACAAAAACGGAGGAATAAAAAGGTCCTTCCAAGCATGTGAGCATGAGTGAAACACCCCTCCTTGAAGCATGAAACCTTTGCAAGTCTCACATGGCTGCTTTAAACAGCATCCCTGGCTCTAGAGTGGTGCTTGAGTGGAAGGGATGTTGCTTTGTATGTAGCCTAATCTCTGTCCAGTTTTTGCATTCACAGAATGCCTGAAGAGAGTGAACATGTCAGGATTATTCTTCCCGTACTCTTAGCTGCAGCATACTAATTTACAGTACCTGAGGCCATCTAATGTGTTTGTTGCATGCAGATTCTTAAACCCCATATTTCCTGGTTCCTGTTCTGGCTATCAGACAAAAGTAGTGCTCAGCAAAATATTTGCAAAGAGGCATGCCAATTACTCTTTGTTGAAATGCACTCAACATCACATCAGATACTATGTAGAATGTGATTCGGTGTGTTCATTCAGTATTTCTTCTTTTACTTAAGCGGGAAAACTCTAAAACTCGTTACTTTAAGTTATAATAGCAAATACCTAAATCAGAATTATTTACTAGGGGCACAAAGGGTTTAATTAGATGTTTCTATTCATGAGAATTGATCTAGTCTGATCATGAATGTGATACTTGGCTTTGAGCTCTCTTTGAGCACTGAAAATACCAGTGTGTGGTCTTGTGCTATGGATTAGGTACCCAGGATGAGACTGTAAAACCAGCTGCATAACTTAAGCCCCCCAAGCCCTGGGTGCAGTCTCTAGAGTCCCTCTGAAAGGTGCCACCACATTGTAACTAAATGGGGAATTATTAAATACATGAGAAATTATAATTATTTCTACTGATTTAATTTGAATTTACTTTGATGCTAATTAAATTAAAAAGATTTTACCCAGGCATTACTTATTTTATGTCCTCGCCTGCCTACTCTCAACACGAAATGCAGTTCCCCAGATTGCAATTTTAATCTACAAACCACCCAACCAGCCACCCCAGCTCTTGACCTCATGATGCTTCTTGAGGTTGATAGGAAATATAATTCAGCAATATCTGGAAGGCTATATCTTGACAAAGTTCCCATTATCCTTGAGTGCTGGTCATGGTGAGGTTGAGATAAGCTCCAACCTGGAGCCTCTGAGCATCACCCACAGGGCACTTGGGTATGAGCAGACTGCAGCATAGTACATAGTACAGGTGGTCCTCAACTTATGACCACAATAGGAAAATTCATTATTAAGTGGTGCAGTCATTAAGTGAGGCATCATGTGACTGCACCCAATTTTATGACATTTTTTGCAGCGGTTAAGTGAATCGCATGGTTGTTAAGTGAATCAGTTCCCCCATTGATTTTGCTTCTCAGAAGCCGACTGGGAAGGTCGCAAACAGCAATCATGTGACCCCAGGAAACTTCAACCATCAGAAATATAAGGCAGTTGCCAAGTGCCTGAATTTTTATCACGTGACTGCAGGGACACTGTGACAGTTGTAAGTCCAAGGGCCAGTCATAAGTTACTTTTTTCAGCACTGTCGTAACTTCAAGCAGTCACTAAATGAATGGTCATAAGTTCAGGACTATCTGTATTCCTACTCCCCCAGAATGCCCAGAGTACTGTAAGCAGTCTTTAAACAAAGAAATGGAGGATGAGGGAAGAGAACAGCAACCTGTCTGCTACCATGGTCATCCAATGCATTGCCTTTGAAATGCCTTCTTGCTACCTCCAGAACTTGTATATGAGGGAGATTCATTTTTACCGTATTTGTGAAAATCTTCAATGTGGTTATGCAGTCCACTCAGGTAGGGCGTGGCAGGTTATAGGTTCCTCCTGTTCATTTGGGCTCAGCTATCAGTATTGGGGGGAGGGTAGATAAGAAGCACAACACCAAGGCTGGGATTGTAACTCTGTTAATACCAAATTTTGGTGAACTGTGGTAAACCTGAAAGCAATGCTTCAAGCAAAATATATATACAATTTATTTATTTAATTCAACTTTGGTGCTGCCCAGCTCCAGACCAACTCTAGGCAGCTCACAATATTAAAAAAAAAAAAACAAATACAGTAAGATAAATAAAAACACAGTAAGCAAAATAAACAAAATGGCAAATCCAGGTAACATCAACGTGTGCAATGTATGACAAACATATCTAACAAGATTCCCTCAAGCCTACCCTAAGGCCTGGAGGAACTTTAAGGCCTTCCAGAATGCCATCAAGGTCCAAATCCCTTATGACAATTGTGTTAAAATGTCAAACAAGTAATAAACATTAGTTGTTCCCTCTCTGCTGGATATATAGGATGTAGTACTACCTGGTTTTACCAAGGAATAACTGATTTTGACATTCTTAAAACTAGGTTTATGGAGTATTTTTCAAAGTTTAATTTCCATAGTTTAAACTTTCTGTTAAAGACCTAATAGTGAGTGTCTTTGTTTAGGGTGCTTAATAGAACTTGAACCTGTGCTGAGGACCTTTGAAGAGATACCTATGCTTGAAGCAGTAATAGAGTTAAAGAGGGCCAAAGTAAGTGCTCATTTTGTAACCTATTACGAAAAGAATTTGTTCCCAAAAAGAAATTGGACATCCATGTATCTGAAGCTAGAATTCTAACACTGATAATCATATGCAGATGTTCACTTGCCCAGGCTGAATTATGCTGAGGTATATGGGGGCTTATGGGACTGTAAGTGCATTGAAATATTTGTAATCACAAACTCTGCCTTATTGGGATGCTTGATCATAGATAGAACTGTAAACCTGTTCAGCTAAGTGGACATCCTGTCCCCTTGTAGTTTGTTATGTTAAACAATAAAAATCTGTGCAAGCAGTTGGAGTTAGGTGAGCACATGCCCCAAATTCTGCCCTGCCACGTAGCCTTCCTCAGGTGCAGGGCTGTTAGGTATTTTGCATCATAATTATGCTTTGATTTCATAATACCATGCTGTTTTACACAAGCATGCTAATATCTCTTTCAGTCCCAGTATGAGTGGCGATGCGTTCATTTGTCGAATAAGATCTCCAGTGATGAGTCGATATCTTTAAATATACCATTGAGCACTAGTATACAAGAGGTAAAACATTTTTCTACTATTATCGTAAACACCTTAACATTTATAAACTTTTTTGCCAAAGATCAGTGGTTGCTTTTGTAGGGATTCAGAAAGAATATGTAAGATGAGTTAGTGAAGTTTGTAAACTTTATTGAGCAGGAATACATCAAAGTCTTATCCACTGATACAAAAATTTATGGTGAGCAATAACAGACAGCTCTGCCAGTGGTCAACACACAGCATCTTTCAGCATTTCAGACCTCTGTTGAGATTCTTTGGAGAATTTCAGGGGATAGTCAACAGCTTTATCAACTTTATACTATGCTAATCATGTGCACACCTGTAAATTAGCATGTTTAAATACCTGTTCAGGGTAGGAGATAACCTCTGGTGAATGGCAAGTGCCCAGTGTGGATAATTAGGCGCTCACCCCTGCTTTCTCAGTCCCACACCATACTATGATACAGAGAGAAGCCTGTGGCATGCTTGGATGCTACATAGCGGGTGTGAATTTTGGAAAGAATAGCTTCCAAATGGTGAAACTGGGATAACATCTAGGCTCAGAGAAGTATAATGCTTCCACACCACTATTGTCCTCCTCGAAATAAATAGATCTTCCAGCATTGACAGTTCAATATAATTTCAAAAACCACAGAATATTTGCATGAATAATACATTCTAGTATTGAGACACTGAATGATATCTAACATTCAGGGTCATTTCAATCATCCAGTAGCTGATACTCAATAAAGCGCTTGCCCTGTGTGCTGTTCAACCCTCAGCATCTCCACATAGGGTTTGGAAAAATGCCTGTTTGGAAATCTCTGAACTTTGGGATAGGGCTCATCTTTTAAGATGAGGTGGCTAAGAACACTTTTTAAATTTTTCTTTGAGTAGGAGGTGGGGAGAGAAAGCTTACACCGTATCAAGTGGTGTTAGGTTGCCTTCTGCTATGCTACCTTTTTAATTTGGGACAGATTATATCATGGGAATTATATCACATTTAGGATATAGCATCCTTCCTAGAGTGTTGTTAAAGGAGGAAAAATGGCTTTTCCCAATGGCCTTGAAAATCACTAGCATTCATTCACAGAGAGAGAGAGAGCACACATGGAAGAACAAACAACCCTGTGAAAGGGAGATATAATTTCACCCCAGTCTTTTATTCATTTCATACTAATGGATCAATCTTTAATTTGACCCTGCATTTGGTGATTATCTTTGTAGAACCAGAGAATGGGCATAATGAATTGATTTAATGGCAACAACAACAGTAGAGAATCTCTGTAGTAATTAGTGTTGGATTAGGACTGGACCATGACCATCAGCCATGGAAGTTTACTGGGTGACTTTAGGCTAGTCGCATTTTCTCAGCAGGATGTTCCTCACAGAGTTGTCATCAAGTAAAACTATAAACATGTATGTCATCTTGTCATTAATAAGGTGACAAAAAAATAAAACATCATTAGTAGTTTTTGCGTGGAAATTTGAAGACAAGTGACGGTGCTGTTTTATTGTAGGTGGGGTTTTTTTTGTCATTACTTAAGGCTAATACAGTGTTGTCTCCTGGTGAAGAGCTGTATGCATGACTTGTGCAATGAATTTAGCTTTGGTTTTCACCAAAAATCTTTGCACTACACTTGTGTCATTCTGAACCAACCACAATAGAGTTAACTGATTGTGTGTAAGATGTATAACCAATGATTTTCCTGGAATGAAATGAATACAAAGTTTTAGAATAGCCTTCCTGGCACCCTCAGACAGATTAGATTTTAGCTATATTGATTGGAAATTCTGGGAAATTCAGTCTAAATGTATTTGAAAGCCACAAGGATGAGTAAAGTTATTCTAGATGCCCTCAGGCCTCAACATGAGGTAGAAGTCATGGTACTAAGAGTACCATTGGGAAGTCTTAGTGCAGTCCTATGTATTCCTGTTCAGAAATATGTCCTACTGGATTCATACTGCATTAGTGTGCATAAAAAAAAAAAGATGTTTCATGTATGGGTGCACATTGAGTCAAGCCATTATTTCATGTAGTTCATATATACTAGGACTATATTTTTAATTTTGTTTTCAGTAGACAGTATATAAAACTAGGGAGGGATGGAAGGATGTGTCCTCACGTAAGCTGTAGGTCTACAAATTTAGCACAGTTGGCAATGCTCTCCTGGGCTTCAACCAGGCCTCCCCTGTCTGAGCTATGATCCCCCTTCCTCACCATAAAAAGGAACAGGCTTGTCAAGCGAAGAGTCCCATCGCCACCACATCCCCCACCATAATCATTGCAGCTTCCAATTGCCACAACTATGACCAGAGGGGAGAAGTAATATAAACACTTTTACTCAAACTTTGTTCCATGTGTGAGGAATGGATCAAGATGTCTTTATATTTTTTGAATATATTATATTCCATAAATGAGAACATGAAGTAAATCTATATGGCCTAAATTTAAGGACAAGTTTAAAGATTAAACTAATCCCATGTTGAAACTAAATTGATACTATATAGAATTTTTATATTAAGTTTTTCTTTCTTTATGTTTATTTTAATCACTGATATGTAAGTAGGGTTTTAAATATATATAGCACTAGTGCATTTTGTGGGCATTGTACTTGTTCATTAAATTTCACCAATTAAAAAATTAAAACAAAAAATCTTTTGTTCCATGTGATTCTGTTCTTTCCAGAATTCCTGTTTATCCCAAAATGATAAACTTTTTCTTCCACGTGTTCCCCAGGATACATCAAAACCATACAACATCCTTTCAGATGGTATGTCCTCTGCACACAATTGCAGCTTTGATTAATGACAATTACATAATCTTCTTATGGATATGAAGTAGTTAGATCGTGTTTCTCTGGTCCACAGAATGTTAGTAACAGGGACTGGACCAAAGCAAAGGGTTGAACAGATAGCATCCTATCCAGGATAGGATCTTAGATTGAAGACCGGTATTCTACAATGTTCAGTGTTCTTTTTAAGGTTATTCTGTGGGTAAATATATAGATTCCAACTAAATATATAATTTTAAATAATAAATAAAATTATGTAATATAAGAATGATTTACCCTAGATCTCAAGAAGTAAAAAGAAGTTCATTCTGACTGCCAGTTGGCCAAAGAACCAAGATCCAACATTTGGCTTTCTAGCCAAAAAAAACCCCCAACAAAAATTACAAATTTGGTCCAAACTATAAATAACAGCCAATTGATGGTTCAGCTTTTCATTTTGGCCTTTCTTTTTTACTTCGTTTGTCTTTCCTTCTAGTCTATCCTGTGTTTTTAATTTGTAAGTTTGGTTGCAGAGTCATTCTTTTTTTTTTTTTTTAATTCATACTAGCTGCTTTGGGAGGCAACAAGTATCCGTCCTAACCTGGTACTCGGTGGGTTAGGATTAGACACAATGGGTTACCAACTGTATTGCCAACAGCCATACTGGCTGGGTTTCATAACAAATGCAGTGCAACACATTTGGAAGGTATCCGGTTGGGAAAGGCTGTGTGGCAGGAGAGCAAAAGGTGGTTTTAAGCTTCATAGCAAATAGCTTTTGATGTTACCTGTTGGGGGAATGAGAGAAACTAAAAAAAGAAATTATCAATCTATAGGTTGCGTTGCAGCCATTTGGTGTGGTGTAGTGTGGCTGGAATCGTAGGTAAATGACAGAGTAGCTCTGGGTTTCTTTTGTCCTTTGTTTTTATTTTTTACTTTTTTTAAATTAACAAGTTTTTTAAATTAACAAGATTAAATTAACAAGTCACTTTTCTTTCATGATAGTTAAGGATGAACCACACTCACTGATCAGTTATGTCCCACCGTCTCAGAGTACTCAGTCTTATGTGTCTCAACAAAGTTCTTCATCTACCACAAATAGTTCTAATTCATCAAATTCCATGCCGTGTTTGCTGCAGACATCAGGAGCTAACTCGGGTATGCAGTTGAAAGTTTTGAATCCTACTCATGATTGATCTGTTTTTAAGAACGAAGTATTGTAATGTGGCATTGTTTATTACATAATTGGATTAGATCTCTAGAAATAATACAATTTACACAAATGCACATGCATTATTATCTTTTATATATTTGCTTATGAGGGTTACTGTATGGGGGCATTTATAAAAAGAAAACCTGTGCCCCCCCCCGATGGCATTGTACACACTATCTGTCACAAGGATTGATCAGAAATACAATTCTTCAGATAGCAATGTACATCTGACTATTAATTCTTCTATGGTTTCAGTTTATACACAATCGGTATATAAAAGAAAGTTGAACGTTTGAATAGAAGCTACGTATCATTGCAGAGTTTGAGACTCTTTTAATAATGAGGATTATAATTAATATTCTGATAGCTTGACCTACAACATTAAATATGTGTTCCTTAAAGAGAAATTTAGAACAAAATGATTGTAGTAAAAAAATTAAAATGAAGTGAGCAAATAGAAGAAATATAACTAATCAAGAAAGAAATGGTCATCTTATTAGCTCTGTTGTGCAAATCATTTGGAGGGACATGTACAGAAGGCAGTTGTTTCTGGAACATGTGCAGAACATAGTTCTACCAGGATTGCCCCTTTCACATTCAGAAGATTTGGAGAGAACTGCGAAGTGGACACGCTGAGTTTTGAAAGACACTGTCTGCTTAAAAACTCTGAACAATGGGCTCCAAATGCTTTGTACGATCAAGGTACAAGGTAGAACAACAGGATGGAAATGTTAGTCTAAGACTGGGATTTTCACACTGCAATAATTTATGTGTCTACCTTCCCCATCTTGCACCTTCAAAATAAATTTAACAACTGCCATCATCTTTATCCAATAAAAGCAGTGGCTGTATCTCTGAGTATGATGAAATGTAGATAACACAATTAGCGAGGTACTGAGGGAAGAGCTAGTATGTAGTGAATAATGGGAGAATACAGCTTTTATCTTAATGAAGGTGAAAATATAGTTTTGTTTTTGGAATATCATTCTGTTATTCTAAAAATTTAGACAAATACACTCTTCTCTCAAGTTGCTTTGTGTAGTTTGATGTTATATGTATTTTTCAGGACTGGGTCAGTTTTTCTTGTTTTTTTCCTTCTCTGTTATTAGACTTTACGTTGAGGACTATACAGCCACAAGATTTCACTGTAGCTCATCAGTGGATCCAAACTAAAAGAGAAGAAATTGTCCATCAGATGACTGAAGCTTGTCTTAACCAATGCTTGGATGCTCTCCTCTCCAGGGATTTAATCATGAGAGAGGATTATGAACTCATCAGCACCAAACCTACAAGGACCTCAAAAGTCAGGCAACTGCTTGATAATATTGACAGTCAAGGAGAGGAAGTCGCTAGAGTCATAGTGCAAAAACTGAAAGACAATAAACAGATGGGACTTCAGCCCTACCCAGATGTATCTCCTGCATTCAGGAGCACTTCTTTGAATCTATAAATGTCAGGACTTGCAATCTGGATTCCTATTTCTGAAATGTCTATGTTTCTGCTGCATGGCTCTAAACTGAGGTCCTTAGTTTGCTGGGCAAGGGGGAGGGCATCTTACAAATGGAAGTATTACACAATGTTCTTGTCATTTTTTAAAATAACAACATACTTGAACTTTCTTCGCTGAATAGACATGCATTTTGTGGAATTATTAAAAAGAAAAGATAAAATATATAAAGATAAAATGCAAAAGGATAGAGAACTCAAAAGAACTCCATCTTTTGAGGCATTCTGTCAGTCAAATCTGCCTTTAAATAGGGAAGGTTTACTGGGTTAGCACATTAATAGGATTGTTCTAAAACACTGCCCTTTATAAAGTCTTTTATGTGAATAGGAACCACTTCTGAATTTGCTTGTCTCTAGCCACGTGCTTTGTAGTAGAATACAAATACCCTATTTGGTTATGCCAGGTGACCAGACCTAATGAGACAAGCCCCAGATGTATTTTGGAATTCATTCACTGCTGCTTTGTAGCTTTGTAAAATAGAAAAAGAACAGTGGTATATAAGCTGTTTTTGAAGGGAACTTGTTCACTGTTAATGATCTTTAAAGAACATCTCAAGCCCAGATTTGCCTGGCCCAGGGTGTAGGAGCATTAACCTCCCAAAGAGTAGAGTGTTGTACAAAGGGATTGCATTGGATTCTAGGGAATATCTACACTGTTTTCATAGAGGCCCCATTGAGTATAGCTCTAGTCATGATTCATGAATGTTTTGCTGAGGAGGAAAGATATCTGTAGCAGTCCATGTTCAGTATAACTTAAAGTGGGTATGGTGGGGGGACATAACCACTTCTAATTGAAGAGGAAACACTTTAAATATGTTGAGGAACTGAAGGGGAACAGATAGGTATGAATGAGTTTTTACTTCACAATGCCCACTCTTGCAGTCTAATTCTGTTTAGACATGAGAGGGGAGGAGAATGGCATCTTCTAAAAACAGGATCCTTCAATCACTCATAATCAACATAGTCTACCTATGTGGTATATGACACAGGTACAGATTATTGCATATAAAATATGTATGAATCATATAGACCCAATTTGGTGTAGTGGTTAAAGCATCAAGCTAGAAACTGGGAGACCGTGAGTTCTAGTCCTGTCTTAGGCACAAAGCCAGCTAGGTGACCTTTGGCCGGTCACTCTTTCTCAGCCCTAGGAAGGAGGCAATGGCGAGCCACTTCTGAAATCTTGCAGAGAAAATTGCAGGGACTTGTCCAGGCAGTTGCCAGGAATCAAGGCTGACTTGAAGGGACCAAAAAAAAAAAATCATATTGTAATTAATTTCTGAATTACTAATTATCTGTATCCTTTGTTATGAACAAATGCCTTTGAAGCCCTTCCCTTATCCAGTTAAGCCCCCAAGGATTCTGCTGAATATAGTTTGGTGGAATAGATGGTCTGTGGCAAGAGAGAGGCCACTGTATAATGATAACAATTCTTGTTGAACTCATAGAGGTTTAATTCACATGCAACTGGTAGAATTCAAACAGGGGCCCTTATACAAACGCAAATTATGGCGGGAAAGACTAATTGTTCAGTGGTATAGCTGGAAATGACTCTCATGCAGAACATTCTGGGGTCAATCCTTGGCATTATCAGTTAAATTAAAAAGTTGAGGTAGTCACTGATAGGAAAAAACTTCTTCCAGAAGTTTGCCATCTGAAAAAATAGACCATTGAGAACTACATTGATCAATAGTTGCATTTAAGCCCATTACTGATGGAATTTTCCTGCCTAATTATTAGTTTAAAGTTGCCCTTGTGTGTTACGAAGATTCTTTTGGTCTTAACTTTATTTAACAAGCCTGTTTATTCATTTATCTATTTCTGAAAGATTGATGGGCAGCCCAGCATTAATTAAATGTAACAAAATTCATTGTGTGTCTTGATGGCATAAATCTAACTTCCGGTTAGCAGTTGCCAGATTTCTATTTAAGGATGTTCTGTTCAGAACTATAATGTTTATTGTATAGATCTGGAATAGGTTAGTTAGGCCTGGCTTTTTCCTAGATGGGGTTCTTGGGCAGCTTTTGCTGCCTCAGTTTTTCACAGAACTCACTGCTAATGCTGCTATGGGTGATCTATAGGAGGTGCTCTGTTGAGTCTCACATGACTGGGTTTGAGACTTCCATCTTTTACTTTTCCATAATTGCCCTAATAATGAGGAAAAATTTCCTGACTCTTAAGATCTGTACAACAGTGGAATAATTAACCTGCAGAAGTTGTGGGTTCTCCATCTCTGGAGGTTTTTAAGAAGAGGCTGGATAGCCACTTCTTAAGGATGGTTTAATTGGTTTTCTGACACACTGCAGAAGGTTGGACTAAATGATCCATGTGGTCCCTTCCAATTCCATAATTCCATAATTCTGTTTCTATATATCTAGAAGGTCCTCAGTTCAAATATTGCTACAGTTATGGATTATTAAATAGTGTTAGGAAACCAACAGTCTCTCAACTTGACTGATTGATTGATTGATTGATTGATTGATTGATTGATTATGTGCCATCAGGTCAGTGTTGATTTTTGGTGACCACACAGATAGATTTTTCTCCGT